CTAATATATAATAACTCTTACAAATTTATAAAAACACATTGCAAGAAGTAAAAACTGCAAATAAGTATTGCAATTTACTTCTCGACAACTTAGCGATTAAAAAAATATTAAAATATTTTAACAAGTAACTGATTAACATATAGTTTAAAAATAACAACAGATACAAACCTTTTCTAAAAGCAAAACTAAAACATACAGTATGCAAACGATTCAAAAGATTAAATTAGATACGTCTGTTAACTTAAATTAGATACGTCTGATCTCTATCGTAAATTTGAGAAAAAAGGACAAGAGATATATTGCGCACTGTTTAGAAAAAATCTATTTTACAGAATGACATAAAAATGACGTAAAGAAACGGTAAAACTTCAGTTAACGGGTTATCCATAAAGTACATCACGCAACTAGAGGGAGAGGGGGAGGGGGAGAAGGGGAGGATTAATTTTGTGACAATTTGTGACAAGGGGAGGGGGGTTTGATAAATATGATGTCACAAGTATTATTTATCCTGACAGTTTATTTTCTACATATTTACTCATTCAATTATATAAGTGCTTCAGATTTTTACTCACACTACTCATGTTATGCGTATTTTAAATAGTTTTAAATAGTTTAAAAAGTTTGCAAAAACTGCCTTCATGTTTCTGAAGACATTGAAGCGCAGCGATGCAAAATCATTAAATTAAGAACGTATAATTTAAGTTTGGAATTTTAAATGGAGGGTTTAAATAAGTAAATCAAGCATATGATGAACATATTTTTATGACATTATATAAACACTAGAGTTTTAGTTACATTTACACTTAAGCAAGAATATATAACATATGATAAATAATAAATATATAATATATGATAATTAAGTTAAATAGACTTGCTCATGCTTTAAATAGCCAATAGGAAACACAGATTATTAATAAATAAAAGTGTAAATAGGATAGTAGCTAGTTAGCGGTCAGTATAACTAAGTAGTAGTAATTTATATTATGGCATAAATGCAATATTTTTAATTTTTCTAAATGAGTGCAAATGTGATCCAGTTCCATTAAAAACATGAGGTTCAAATAAAAGAACTATTTTTATTGTATCTTATAATGATAATGTTTCCCAATAAATTTAGAAGGTATTCCAAATTAGTTAAATTGAGTCTTTTTTATTCTGTTAAATAGCTATTACTATGTTGAAAATTCCGTAATGTTTTTTTTTGTTTGTTTTAGAGGGGGGGGGGGGGGGAAATATGTGACATACTTTTTTAGGGGGGTGTAGAATTATATGACAGTTTGTGACAGGAGGGGGGGAGGGGGTTAAAAATTGAAAAAAATAGCGTGACATACTTTATGGACAACCCCTAAGGAATCGTTCATAAATTACGCTACGCTAAATTTGTTAAAAAAACAGAAGAGAACTTAAGCTCTTTTACCAATTAAACGCTGTTTTGATTTTTTATTTAACTTAAATCTCTGGGAGGAAAAACTTTTGATTTTTTTGAAAACCTTCGCCTTCCCCACTCCCCTAGTGCAAGACAATTCCTATGTCGAATTAAAAAACTTAAATTGTAAAAACCTTATTTTTGACAATCAGTAACTTAACTTTTAAATAAAATGAAATAAATAAAAACTTATTTTTGTTTAACTAGATTAAATACAACTCTATTTCTTATTGGGTTTTAAATTGAAATTTCTTCAAGTTTTTATTTGTTTATACAGAATTTAGTATTATTGAACTTCTTTAGGATTTTGTTCAAATTCTTTTAAATAAAATTAAAAAGCGTCCTTAATTTAGACGCAATTTGGTATTTTTTTATGAAAAAGCTAGAACTTTTACAAAGTGTTTAAACTATAAAAAAACTTAAACTTAAAAAACTTAAACTTAAAAAAAAAAAAAACATGATTTTTTTGCTCAAATTTAAAATGTTTTCCATCTCATAAGTGAAAGTAAAAAAGCACACGTGGTTATTAAAAAGTATTTCAATACGTCTTTAATAGATTGAATAAATTTTTAAGATCGGAAAAGTATTGGATAAATCAAAATTAGTTATAAAAGATATGGTTCTCAAAATGTAGTGCAAAACTAAGTAACTTTTGTTCTGCCAATCAGTTCATATACAAAAAATTTATTTCTAAGTATATGTTTACTGATTGGGTTTAGAGAAAAAGCATTTTAAAGATAGGTAAAATATAATTGTTTTTCCACGTGTAAGTGAAGCATAACACGTTATAAACATTGAGCTCGCAAATGTTAAATAGGTTTATCTCCATAAATAATGATTTGGAATGAGTAAAACAAACCGCAAAATTAATCAAACGGATAGCATGTTTTTGACCAGTGGCGGAATTTCAAATTTTAGAGCCCCTCGCAAAATACTATATAGACGCCCACCACAAAAAGAAAATAATAATTTTTATCTAAATTTCTTTATTGAAAAACTGTTGCACAACTGAAATTAAATAAATAAATAACAGTTTATCTAAAATTGTAAATAATTGCTCCTTGATTTTAAATTGGCAAAACCTGTCACGACTTTGATTCTCATAGTATTGGCTGTTTTTGCTTCGATTCCTAATATAAATAGGTTATGCAAACGTTTTTTGTCTGTAGAACTGCGTAAATATTTTTTTATTATCTTGTAACATTAAATAAATGTAGAGACATTTATTTAATGTTATTTTATTCTTTTCGAGCAGATTTAATGTTTCTTTTTATAATGTTTCTTTCAAACAAGAGTATTGAAGCTAACTTATTATTTATTCGAAGTTTAAACATCTAATAAAGTTCATTTGTCATTTAATTCAACTATATTTTCAGAAGAAAATAATTATAAAAGTTGCCAAATATATGTCTTAATTTGGAAGTAAGTATCGGATTAGGGATATAATTAAAGAGATAAAAATTATGGCAAATTTTATTAGTTTTATTTCAATTATAGGTAATGGCTACATTCTCTTTAAAATCATTATCAATACTAGAAAATAAAGTAAAAGATTTTTCGATAGATATTCCACTGATTTTTTGTACAAAAATAGGTGAAGGGACATCTGCATCTATTTTTAAATATGAGCTAAAAGGTGATCCGGTGGCTGTAAAAATCTTTAAACATTCTTTATCCAAGAAAAGAACACTGCAGGTTGCAGATAAATTACGCAAACTAGTCTGCCCTCACCTCGTAGTGTTTAGAGGATACTCATTGCGACCATCAGCATTTATATTTGACTTCTGCGGAGTAAATGTTGGAGATGAATGTGTAAACAATGTATCCCAAATGATAAAAATTTTTAATGAAAACGATCATTATGTATTAAACGAAAGATTAGACATTATCAAACAAGCTACCTTAGGTTTAAAAACTTTACATGACTTTGGAATTGTACACAGAGACTTTAAACCATCTAATCTTTTGGTCACTGGAACTTTAAGCAAATTATGCGTCAAATTAACTGATTTTGATGACCTATCCTTAATACAAGAAACTGTTAATGCCACCCTAACAAACAAAGTCTTTTTGTTTGGAATGACTTTAGCTTATACAGCACCTGAAATCTGCAAACAGGAAGTTAAATCTCCATCCTTCAAGTCAGACATTTATTCCTGGTCAATGTCAGCTTACGAAGTTCTTTCTGGATATGAAAGCCCTTGGGTAAATATAATACCTATACTAAATGATTCTCTCCTAATAGAAGCTTTGAGTCAAGATAAACGACCGAATATAAATGACTTAAACCAGTTTTACACATTTAATGATGAAACTTGGATTTTTAAAATGATTTGCAATGCGTGGGACACAAATCCAGATGTTAGAAAAGATATTGATAAGGTGAGACGAGTATCAAATAATATCAAAATATCAATAGATTTAGCATTTAACGATAAAAATAAATATATTTTTTTTTTTAGATTTTAAAAACCCTAAACAAAGATAGAAGCAAGCAAACAATAAAACCAAAACAAGATGCAAAAATCTATCCACTCAACGAACGTAGGCAGGTATAAAAAAAAAATTAGTATTATAAAAACAGCTATTTTAACCATTATATTTTTTCATGCGCATTATTTTTGGAAATACTTAAACTTGAATTCACTAAAGTAATGTTAAGAAAAATTTGGTATTTATTTAAAAATAAGACTTCATTCTTGGAATGAAACTGGAATAAAGAAAAGTGTTCCTTTTTAACTGGAACTAAAAAAAAATCATTTTTTTAAACAGGAATTCGTAGCCCAACTTGATTCAAAACTAAAAAAATGGAGTTTTATTTCAAAATAAAATGACATTGGCATAAATTATAGAACTAATTTATGCCAATGTCATTTTATTGTCATATTATTTATTAATGCAATATTAAAACTTTGACTACTTTCTTTTATTATTAACTAGAAGTAATAACCCAGTGGGCACGGGACGTAAAAAAAATTTCTTTTAAACATCTTTTGAACGTCTGTTTAATGTTTTGGACAACTTTTGAACGTTCAAAAAACGTCTTTTTATTAATCCCGTGCCTACTGGGAAGTTTGCATTGAGTAAAAAAAAAATCAAATATAATTTACAAAACAATTTTTTTTTAATAACAAGGCTAAAATAAAAAACAAACTTCTTTTACATGGTAACATCAAAAAACCAGCTAAAGTTTTACGTTTGTATTAATAGTATGGAACAATTTTTCTTTATTTAAAGAAAGTTAACTCATATGTGTTTGGCATTTTTAAATTCTATTTGAGATTTATTTGAAACTAGTCTAAAAATTTGCATTCATCAAAGAAATTTGATGCTTATATATCTTTAAGTTACTTGATTACTCTTTTAAAAAACAGCAAAATAAAAATATTATGCTATTCTCTAAAACAAAGAGGTAATTAGAGATAATTAATAATATAGATTAAATATTATTTATTTTTAAAAGGTTGTGTTTTTGTTTGTTAAAGTTATCACAGAAAAAGACCCGCTGTTTCCAAAATGAAAAAGCAGAAAAACATTACCAGAGTAAATCTGACCCTGAAAATCTCTAAAAAAAATTTATAAATGATTACAAAGGTAAGATTGTGAAGAGAGCTATACATTTGATTTATGAAATAATAATATAACTTTTTGGAATATGGTTTATATTTTTACTACTATTAATTATCATCAATAAAATTTTTTTTTAAAATTATTTCTAAAAATACGCATTTTTACAAAAAAATTAGGCTTTGGAATTTTTACAACAACAGAAATAAGCAAAGGTGAATTTGTTGCTGTTTACCAAGGAGTCTTAAAAAAAAAGAATGAAATGAAAGAGCTTGAAGAAATTTATGAAAATGAAGGCTTTGGGTCGTATGTATTTAGTTTCAAACACAACAATGAAGCATATTGGTAAAATTTGTTTAGTAACAAATACAACTAATAATATTTTGGTTTTAGTTTGTTGACTTAACTAAAAGATATTTATTTACTTTTAATATAAACGGACATTGGCCCAAATATATGGAGATATTTTTAATAATCTAAATTAAAACTAATCTAACTCGATTTCAATAAATTTATTTTTTATTGTTAAAATATTTAGTATTGATGCAACCAAAGATGATGGTTCTTTTGGTAGGCTAGTTAATGATTCTAAATACTTTCCTAACTGTAAAATGGAAAAGTTAACCATAAAGAATATCCCATTTCTTTGTCTTTTCTCAATAAGAAAAATAGAAAAATTTGAAGAAATTACCTATTGTTACGGTGAAAATAACCTTGACTGGCACGCAGCTGTAAGTTATTTTTTTTTTTTGTATTAGCTTATGTTTGTATTATATAAGTAGAAATTTGTTCTTTAAAATTCTATAATATAATGTTTATTTTTTAGATAAAATACATTTAATATAAATACTTTGATTTAAATTTGATTTATGAAATTACGTTATTTTCTTATAGCACACTTATAGTCAAGTTGAAATAAATTTTATAACAGTTTACTTTTACATTTTATGAAGGAAAAGATATTGTACCAGAAGTTTAGAGAAGAAAAAAGAAAAAGTTAGTTTGAAAAATTAGTTTTTAGAATGTGTATCATTTAAGAAAACTTATTTTTATTTTTTTACAACTACAAAATTCAAATTTCTTATTCTCTTAAATAAGATTAAATCGAATAAAAATTTGAAAAAACTTAACTATAGTTTAAACAATAAATTATGAGGAAATTTTCATCATGATGTATTTTGGCTGCCAATGTAAATTTTTAGTATCGTATATAAACAAAAATGAATATCTCAACCAGATTAAAATTTGATAAAAAGTAGTAAATACATTTAAATTAACTTTATGCGACTTACTCAAGTATTTTGCAGAAATATATTTTCAGATTTAAAAATATATTTATATATATTACAAATGACTAGCGAATAAAAATTTATTTTAAACTAATTTTACTCAGGAATTTTTTGAAGAAAGTTTTATTAAAATAAAAAGTTTTAAATAATATGATATAAATAAAAATACTCTTTACTCCCACGCCAAAATCTTCATTCTGTATGATCCTTAAAGTTCTTAATATAAAACATGCATAAATATCGAGGGTTCGCAAGAGCTTTAGATAAAAAAAACAAAAAAAAAACTAATTTGTTTTTTATAATTTGAAAAATTTTATTTGAGTTTTTATTCAAAGTGTTCAAAAAAATTTTCAAATTTTAGAATATAGTTTTTATAGCTATTTCAAGCTTTGTTTTTAGTTACTATAACTTATTTAATTAGAAATTTTTAGTAAGTATAAATATAAATAGAAGTAATTTTTAGCATTTTTAAAATCTTAAATCATATTTGATTACAGAACAAGGATCGAATGTTCAAGTAGTTGATTTAGTTGAAGACAATAAATCCAGTTTTTCTTTTAAAGAGGTAATTTTTTCAACGATTTAGTTAAATTATTGTCTATAATCAGTTTTATAATTTTAAATTTCGCTAAATGCAGAGCACGAGCTAGGCTACCTCACACCGCTAATGGTAAGGGGACGCAATTTTAGAGAGTTCTTTTGTAAATTTTCGGATCTTAATCTTTAGTTTATCTAGTGGAAAATTTTTCGAAATTTTTGGGCCCTAAAAACAGGATTTTTTTTGGGGGGAGGGAGGGAGGAGGAATCACTAGCCACGGCAACGTTTAATTGAAATATTGCAAAAATCATCTAAAAAAAATTTATTCAGTTAATATTTTAAGTTATTAAAAATGTATTAAAGTAATGTTTTTAATGTATAAAAAATTCTGTTATCTGAAATTATTACTATTACTTTTTTTGTATATAATCATAACACAAATGATTACCTTAACACCCAGCCTCTAACATTCCGTAAGTAATATATATTTACATGAATTTTTTTTTTCTAGCTGCTATCTAAATCCACTTAAAAATTTTTTAAATGAAAAAAAAAATTCATTTTTATTTATTCATTTATTATCATAATTTTTTTTTTTGCAGGACAGTAATGCAAATAATTCAAATTTGTTTTTAACGGAAATGAGTGATGCAGTTGACTTTGTTGTCAGCACTTTTGTTCAGGTATTTTTTGTTTAATTATTTTTTATAAGTACCATTTATTTTAAAATCTGTTTTTAGTTAAATTGTTTCAATAATTAAAAGAATGATCTATTTAAATTTTGTTTTTATTTAAGGATTTTATCAATAATTCAGCAAACATTGAATTAACCACTGTTAGCAGTACTGTTAATGACTTATCGGCTGAACCTCAGGTTAAAAATTATACTAGCATTTTAGGGAATTAATGTTATTTCGGGATCACTATAAGTTTTTATTTTTTCACAAGTTTCTGAAACTTTAAAAAAAATTACATTACTTTAAAATGTTATTAATAATTCAATGAGTCAAGTATTAATTGAAGTAAATAGTGTCATAAATGATGAATTGAAAGAGTCTCAGGTTCGAAATTAAATTGACTTCTTTTTCAAGCATTATTCAAAGAGTTTCTCAGCTTACAAAAAAAAATAGTTTTTTTTGTTATTTTAGAATACGGTTAATAGTTCTTCATACCCTGAATTATGTGAAGTGAATAGTATCATTGATGGTGTTTCGGAAGAAGCTCAGGTAGAAAATGGAATTATGAAAATGGACTGTTAGTTTAAAGTCAAACTTTATCTTAAGTTTTCTCGTTCAACTTGAAAAATAAAAATATCAACTTGAAAAATTTTTGTTTTAATTTAGAGCTTCATCAACACTTTAACAAATTCCGGGTCAAGTCACATAAGCAGAACCGGTAATTGTGTATTGGAATCTCAGGTAAAAAGATAAGATAAATTTTTATTGTTGAAAGATTTAAATAAATTTTTTTTGGTATATTAATTTGACTTTTAAACATATTTGTAAACATGTTTTTTCTACTTGATAAAACTCTTTTACTAATTTTTCTATAGAACTCAATGAACAATTCTGAAACCTTTTTGTCTTCAACACTGAATGACGAAAGTTTATGTTTCACCAACCTAAATGAAAAAGACGAACTAATTAGCGAAGAGAAAGTAAATACAAATACTCATAAAGTAAAAAAAGTAAGTTTAATAATGCTAGCGAACTGATTATGGTTTTACAAATGAATACTATCTGATATCAAACTTTATGTATTTTTCTAGGGTCCAATTAAAATACTTAAAAGATTATGTTTTATCTGCGGTAAATCATTTCGAAGACTTTCAAGACATATTGCAAAAAAACACAAAACTAACGAAAAAGTAAAAACTGCTTTGCAAAAACCCAAAATAGAGCGTAACAGGCTGTTTCAATCTTTTAAAAAAGATGGTATTCGCAATTTTAATTTGAAACAAATTGATTTAAAAGTTCCTCGCTTCGAAAGAGAGCGGAGTCAACGTAAGTGTGAAAGTCTAGTTATGTGTTCGTTGTGTCATGGTTTTTATTCGAAATCTTATTACTCTCGTCATATGAATGTATGTGGAAAAGATTCTTCTCATTCAAAATGTGCAGTACCGGTTGAAATCCTTACTGATAAATCACAAGAAGGATTAAGTCAAAATTTCAAAACTGATATTTTGCAAGTGATTAGAGACGATCCTATTGGCATTACTGTGAAGAGTGATCGAACAATTTTGATGATTGGGTCACTACTTTACGAGAAAGTGAGAAGAAAACTTAGCAAAAAAAGTGAAGTTCAAAATTCTGTTCGAAATGATATGAGACGATTAGGCCATCTATACTCACATTTTAAAAACTATGAAGTAAAACCAATTTATTGCAATGCAGCCGATATGTTTCTTCGACAAAATTTTAGTTCTTTGAAGCTTGCAATTGAAGTATATACAGATACGTATTCTGAAAATCAAAAATCAGGGTTAAAAGCTGCCTTATATTATTTAATTTCTAGCAGTGCAAAAAAATGTGTCGGAAGCTTTTTGGCTCAAGATAATGACGATTCAGCTAAATCAATCTCTGATTTTTTAGTTCTTCTGCAACTTCGTAAAGAAGAGATATTTGGAGATGCAACTTATGATTTGAATGAACGCAGAAACATTAGTTTAAAGAAACCATCAAAATTACCAATTGAATCAGATATTCAAATGATACGTGATTACTCCATTTCTGTCATGAAAAAGTACAAAGAGGATAACTTTGTCCTATGGGATCTTCACGCCTACGTTGAACTGCGTGATGCTGCATGTACAAGGCTTGTTCTATTTAATGGTAGACGAGGCGGCGAGCCTGCCCGTCTTTTGTTACGCGAGTGGTTTGAAGCAGCAAAGGATGCATGGCTAGATGAACAACGTGCTGAAGATTTAACAGAGATAAATGAAACAAACATGAAAATAACTTACCAAAGTGGAAAAGGTTCAAATCATCTTGTCCCTGTTTTAATTCCCGAAGATACTGTCCGTGCTATGGAAATTTTATCCGATCCAATTGTTAGAAGTAATGTTGGAGTTCTGGAATCAAATGTTTACGTATTTCCTAGTTGTCAAAGTTCAGAAAAGCATTGTTCAGGCTGGCATAGTTTAACTAACGTTTGTGATAAATTGCCTATAATAAACAAGTCTAGATTAACTGGTACAACAAATAGACATAGATTAAGTACACTTATGGCTGCAATAAATCTTAGTGATTTAGAAAAAAGTTTAGTTTTTAAACATTTTGGTCATAGCAAAAATATAAATGAAAATATTTATCAAGCACCAGCTGCCCACCAACAAATTTTGTCTACAGGAAAACACTTGTTGGCTATCGATGCAGGTATAAAGTAGTTTGTATATCACTAGAGTACAACTAAACAAAAATAAGATATAGTTTTTAAGATATTTATATACTTTATAATAAAATTTAATATATGATACTTCAAAAGTAAGTTAGGTTTTTACATTAAAAAATAGGTCTGAAATTATTTTTCAATGATAATTTTTTTTGCATTAAATAATATTTACTTAATGGTATTCTAAAATTATTTTCAAAAATTTATTTTTATATTGATGCAGGAAGCGGACCCAAGGAGCACAAACGTATGAAAACCAGTTCAAGTTTGATTCAAACAGGTGGGAATTTGTATTAATTTTAAAATCTTGAATTTCTATTACTTTAAATGAATAAACTGCATCTTAACTTTTAATAGTAGATCCTAATGGATGTGAACCTGAAAATGGAGGCAAACTTGAAAGTAAGACAACTGATCTTTTACATGGTAATTTTTGATTTTTCTTTATGAATTAGTGTTAATTTCAGAGAAATACACTTTTTTTTTGTAACGTTATTAAATCTTATATTTGTTATTATTTGATTATAAAACTTATAATGATTATAACTAAAATTTAATGTAAATAAAATATATATTTAATTTAATTTTAAAAGTCTTTACTTCTAGAAAAACCTTTAAATACTCATCTGTCAAAAAAAATTCAAAATCCAAATGTGGAACTGAATCACTCTCCTGCTCAGAAATTTGAAGGTAATTTTGTACTTTTTTGCAAAGGAGTTTTCCAAAAATTACGTTGCGCAATTCCTGACCGTTTTTTTTATCCCTCCTCTACCCCTCTTCACAACATTGTAACTCTTTAGTAGCAAGTTCCGTATGAGCCGTCACAAAACCACTAACCTCTTGTCTCTTCCTAAAACGTGGCGTAATTTATGGACGACCCCAAACCTGATAAATGTTTTAATTTGCCACAACAAAGCTGTATAAAAACTTGTTTTTATTTTACTTAATAAAAATCTTTAATAGTTTTACCGTCCCTTCTTCCTACTTTCTTCACCTCTCATCAGACAGCCGTCTAAACTATCAAAAAATACAATTATTTATTAATTAACACAGTTTGATCTATAATTATACTGATTTGTAAATAGAACTATAATTCTTTTTTGCATTAGTCAGTTTTGGTATAGAAAATTTAGTCAATAATAAAATAACACATAATACTAAAAATTAAAGCTTTTTAAATTTCTGAGATTTTTAATTAGCTTTTGCATTTTTTGTTTAGAAAGAATATATACTCAGTGGTCAAAAGAACAAGAAGAACTATTGGAAGAAATGTTTGGAATATTTATCAGAGATAAAAACCTTGGATGGCCCAGTAATTAAAAAAGAATCATTGTTTTTTAAAAGTATATAAAATGTATGGCATATGTATATATATATATTTAAAGTATTTTCTATTTTAGAGTCTAATGAAATAAAAGTCTTCTGTAACCAAACTGGGGTTCGAGAAAAAGCTTTAAGAAACAAAATTAACAACGAACGAGTAAAGTGGATGAGCTTACAAAAAAAAAGAACAGAAGAACTTAATATTTAAAAATTTGTGATTTGTGTTTGTCTAAATCAATATAAAAGTTTTAAAGTAACTATAGTAACCATATGATAAATAAATTAAGGTTGACTAAATTGTAAAAGTTATGTAAAATTTGTCACAAAAAATACTAATAAACTGCAATCTTTTATAGTGAGTTATGTATGATTTTAATAAAAATAATTGTTTAACTAAAACTGGTTATTCTATGTTTACGGTTTACTATTTTAAATTTGTTTTGTTTTGGCTACTCTAAGTAGCCGTAGTTCAGCTTTGTATTTATTTCCTTCATAAAATCCTTCATAAAATCCTACTCTTAACTTAATACAGTTTAAATATATTAATGAAAATCTTATAAAGGATTATAACATATTTTATTTAACGCCAAGTCTGAAAACTTTATATTAACAAGCAAAGCATTACCAATATTTTTTAACGGCACTCCGATAACAAGTACAATAAACAATCAATATTAAGAAACACCAATAATTAATAAAATAATTAAACGTTAAAAGTATTTCGAAACGCCGGACAGTGCTCAAATGATGTAAAAGCGAAAAGTTATTTAATCATCCAGACGCACAGCGGGTCAGGTTGTGGGAAAAAGTAAAAAAATTACATCTGTTAGTCTTAGCCTATAGATCGAGTTAGTCTTTACGATGCTCATAAAATAAATGACCTCCGATAATAAACACGGGAGCAAAAGCCTCCGAAAGAACCAAATGGCGACCACAAGCAAGCAACATGTGTTCGCCACCTGGGAATTTTTAGTTTTTTGATAGAGTTAGCCAAAATTAAGTTTATTAATATGTCTTTTTCTTTTTGATAAAGTTTATTTTCAAGTCTAAATTATTGTTAAAGAACCAAAGTTTAATATACATTTTTTTTCACTTTAACTAGAAATTAAACTAGAAATCTCCGGTCATATCATAGCGTGGAATCTAAAGAAAAAAGAGAAAGAAACTGACATTAATAAATAAATTATGTAAATGTTTTTATCTATTTTTTACTAATTTAATAAAACAGCAGTTGGACCATCGAGTAGTCACTTTGAAATTGTTCTTACCAGAAAGAGATGCTGTTTCAGACATTCTTCTTTTGTTTGCATTGGGTTAGTAAACACAATCAGAAGAAAAATAATGGTATTTAAATCCACTAGTAGATGGTTGGGTCTTAGGAGAACTTGGATTTGGAAATTTGCTAGTTGTCTCTCCAATTGCCTGTTTCGTTCAAACGCAAAATCAAACCAGTTTTTTCGTTTGCTTGTTTTAAACACGTTAAATCTGGGACAATCCAACACAACTTTCTAAAATTCTGTATAATAATTTTAAAATATAGTGTTAACAGAGGCTTTAGATGTTACAAAATGTTAAACCAATTAATTAAAGAACATATAATTGTAGAAAGTTTTTCTAAATTTAACTAAGTATTTTATTTGTCCCAATCCTATATGTGTTTACAAAAAATATTTATCACTTACAGGTTTATGTATGACCCAGCTGCCTGTGCTTCAGTGAAACTTATTTGAAGAAGATTCTCACTCGGCTTAGTCTTAGTACTTACATTCAAATATAATATTAGTTCTACTTGGGTTTAAACTTCAACAAAACCACCTTGATTGACACCCTCAAAAAAGCGCTCATCTCCAGCATGTTCCTTTTGTAAGGTTAACTATGTGTAATCAATAGCATCAGTATTAAATGACTGTAATCCACATTTCTTTAAAATCATTTTAATCTTCACCTCAGTCATTGATCTTGAATACATCGGAAGAAAATGACTAGCGAAAGTTTCTTTTGTAACATAGGAGTTGCATTTTGTTTTATGACCCTCTGCAACTATTAACCGTGCTTTATATTTAAGTACTTTATGAGATCTCGTTGCAAATTCTATTGATAATTAATAATAAATTAAAACCTTAATAGGTTTACAGCATACAAGCTTGCTACAAATTCTAATAATTATTTATATAGTAAAACCGTTTGACCCTGTATTTACTAAATTACGATCCTCAAAAATTATTATTATAAATTGTATAAACACATTGACAGTTCCAATAATTATTGATTAAAAACCAATTACTATAAACCACTTGACGTCATGGAACATTATAGTATTTACCTTTTACGTCATGGAACATTCCAGTATTTAGATTCACAGTATACGAAAAAATAAACTCCTTGATAGAAAACCTAATAACTGTTTCTATGAGCTGAAAACGTATGTCGTATTTAATAAAAAAAGTACTTAAATTAAAATATAATTGTTCATATATAAAAAAGACAAAATATGCGTAGACAGAAATTTTGTTGTTTGAGATGGGGTGGTGGTGGGGAACACTGGAAGCAAAATAAACCTCTAGCTACTGAAAGCAAAATAACCCCCGACACCAAAAAAAAAATTAAAAAGAGTTTAATTTTTTTTTCTTTATTGTAAAATGTGAGCACAGAGGCGTAGACAGACGTAGGCGTAGTCAGAGGCGTAGACAGACGTTTTTGTTGTTCGAGATAGGTAACTTCCAGACATGGAGCAAACTCCAAACATTTATATTTTTATACTTACGTCAAATAATGAGGCTTTGCAAATTAATTCTTGCCCCAAAATTCTTGCCCCCTGCCTATCACGTGAGAGCAACAAGTCGCTATAATTTTTTATAATTTTGTACTATTCTTAACTAGACTTATATTCATTTATAAATTTTAAGTTTCATAGTAAAATCTCTCAGCGTTTAATAGTTATGAGTTTACATAGTTTGAGCCCCCCTCAATTTTTTATTTTTTATTTATTTTTTTTTTAAATATTTTAGTTTACATTTGTTAATTTGAGGGGGTTACAAAATTTAAACTGTCATAATTTATAAAAGCTGAAAAATTACCTTATGAAACTTAAAATTTATCGATGAATATATGCCTAGTTAAGAATAGTACAAAAAATATTTTATCAACTTGTTGCTTTCACGTTTGGGGCAGGGGGGCGTAAATTTTGGGGCTTTTTGTTCCCAGCCTCCAATCATCGCAATTTTTTGCAAAGCCTCATTATTTGACGTAAGTATAAAAATATAAATGTTTGGCGTTTGCTCCATGTCTGGAAGTTACCTATTTCGAACAACAAAAACGTCTGTCTACGCCTCTGAAACTGCTTATAACACATTATTATTATTTTTAAATAAAATTAAACCATACCCATATTGACAAGTGTACAAGTGTTCACATTTTACAAAAAAGAAAAAAAAAATTAAATTCTTTTTAATTTTTTTTTTTGGTGTCGGGGGTTATTTTGCTTTCAGTAGCTAGAGGTTTATTTTGCTTCCAGTGTTCCCCAACACCACCCCACGCTAACCCTTTCAAATTCATCCACTAATTATTTGTTAACAATATATTTCTGCATCCTAATTACAATCTGACAAAAAAAAAAGCAAAAAAATTATAAATTATATGTTTTTTGAGTGATTATCTTAAAGCTTATCTAAAATTTGTCATTAAGCATTAAAGATTTTTGGGCAAAGTTTTATTTGCAATAGATCCTGTACCTTTATTTTTAAAGCTACTAACTCTGATAATCTCTTTATACCTGATGAAAACTTTAAGCTCAAATTTTTATCAGGTATAAAGAGATTACCAAAATTTTTTTTTAGATACAATTTCGACATTTTCCAGCAATTAGTTTTAGCTCTGCATGTTTTTAAGTGACCAAGTGGCAAAGACTAGATCGCATGGCGAACACTGGATATTATATACCGTAAATATTTTTCTTATCAAAACCAATTTTTTTAAATTTCTTTAAATAACTTAGACCTAATACCTAACTTAATAGCTTTTAAACAGGCATTAAGTTTTTATTAACTTTGTTTGAAAAGTGTTAAAAATATTATTATAAAATATGAGGTAACAAAAGGGGTTGCTTAACTTATTATAAAAAAAACTTTTTATAATAACGTACTTGGGGGGGGGGGGGTTTGGGAAATGGTGGCCTCTGGGGCAATTCTGGACATATGATATTTCTATATTTGTGTAATTTAAGTGAGATTTTGTATCTATACTGGTACCTATTTTCTACTAGAAGAACTAATAGTTGGTCCTAGTTCTTGGT